GTGCGTCTCGAGTGGGCGCTTGTGGAATCGAGCGTCTGGATGGGGAATGGCTGGTTTTGATATGTTGCCATGCCACTTGTGTCTCGAGTTGGTGCTTGCGAAATCCAGCATCTACATGGGAATGGCTGGTTGTGATTTGCTGCCCAAACTTGCGAAGACTTACAAATTGACAAGGCTGGGTAATTACGTGACATCAAATCACACCCGAGGGTATCGTTCAACCCCATCTACTGATCTGCGACCTGGTATCGTTCGTTCTGACGAAGAGTGATTGGGGCTATGAAATTGGAGTGTCTCGTGCGCTTGCTTGTGAAATCGAGCGTCCACGAGGGGGGGACAATGGGGGACAACTTCATGTGATGCCGCTCATGTGGGTCTCTCGCGGGCACTTGTGAACTGGGGCGTCTACATGGGGAATTGGCTGGCTGTTTGTCTTGAGTGGGTGCTTGTGAAATCGAGCGTCTACATGGGGAGTGGCTGGTGTTGGTGTGTTATGATGTCACTGATGTATGTTTCGCGGGCATGCTTGTGAAATCGAGCGTCTACATGGGGAATGGCTGGTTTGGACGTAGTGTGATGCCTTGTGCGCATGTGAATCGATCGTCTCCTTGGGGATTGCATGGCTGCTTTTGATGTCATTGGTGTTGCTCCAAAGATCAGTCCTCGATACGTGGACCGCGGTTGCAGCCAAAGGATCAAACCTCGGAATGTGGATCTCGAATGATCTCGAGTGGTTTTCGATAGCCAGGGCATCGATTCATGCGAAGGGAAAATGCAACGTCTACTTGGGGATTCGGTTGCAACATGGGCTTTAGAATCCAATGAACAGTATATACGCGAAACCCCAGCGTCGGCGGCATATCCTGAAATTTGAGCTTGCACATGTGCATTCTCGCCGCTGATGTGTAATTCCTTGAAACAGCGTCCACACTGGGGTGATGTGTATTCTCGCCGACTGATGTGAGATACACCCGACGCTTGTAGTTTTGTCTTTGTGCATTCGTGGTCTCATGGGCTTCAGTGCTTCAGGTTAAAGTGGTTCGCATGCGGGATCATGCGGGCCGATTCCGAAGGTGGACGACTTCATGGGCAAGTTTCAGTCCTGGCAGGCATATTACGTTCCGTGGCAGCATTACATGCTCCGGAATATGCCGTCCTGGCATCGACATGCCGAGGAACATGTGTGGGGTATGGATGCCATGATGGAAGAGTACATACTGGGAGAAAGCACCGACTTCGGAGACATGGACGGGTACCAGGTCAGGCCACTAGACCGGGACCGAGGGTCGCTCGACGGGAACAGTCAGATGCGTGATTGGGCTTTCCCTGTGTGGAGGAATCTGGCGACTGGGACGTAGATGATTTTCTGACGTTGCTGGGCTGATTGGGCTAGAATCTGACTTGCACCGGTAGCTAGTCGTGACATCGTACATACTGACATATCGCCATATTCACAGATGATACGCCGCTGTGCGTCAAAGGCACACCTTGAAGTGGGCTATCAGATGAGGCCTTTTCCCAGTGGCGGGTCGTCACCTCCTTGTGATGCGCCATGGGCTCATCATGTTGTGAGAGTCCCTGCGTATCCCTGCGTCATGGCACCCTGAGAGGGTAGGTACTGCTGCACGGCTGCTGCTGCTGCTGCTGCTGCTGCTGCTGCTGCTGCTGCTGCTGCTGATGATAACCGCGACGACGACAGGAATGCCAATGATGCTGATGCTTATTGCGGTGATTGCAGCGACCATGATGAACAGAACCATATTGAGAAAGCAACGGTATTGAGAACGGCACAAGCACAGTGGTGATACAGACGATCATGATGGTGTTATGCGCGGCTGCCAGATTGTGGTGGTGGTGCCGTGGAGGGCACCAACAAGCGTCGGTGCATGGTCTCACTTGTTCTTATGCTCGTGGATGGCTCTTGACAGTAAGGGGTGCAGTATTTACAGAGCTTCGGGTGTTTGGGAAGACTGAGAAGCTGATCAGCCTAACCGGTTCACGGCATAGATATTTAACTTACTAGTGCTCCAATTCTCCAACACCGTCGAGCACGGGTGAAGGGTCTATCGGATATTCATGGTGTCACAACTCAGACCCCTAGCAAAGAGGTCCAGAGAAGTAGGTTGCCAGTCAACAACGACTGACAGTCAGCAGACAGTCAGAAAAAGCCTGACCTGCCCTTCCGTTTGCAGAAAAGCGAGGCCGGCCCCCGAGTGCTACCCGGGAGACTACGACAGCCCCTGACGAGCAGAAAAGTGTCTTTGCCCGAGGCTGGGTGGCTGAGAGGATTCTCTTTGACCTTTGAGCTCTTGGGGTCATCGCCTGTGAGGTTGCCATTGGGCCCAAAGGCTGGCTCGATGCAGGACAGCGTTGAGCTTCTCTCGCAACTGCACTTTCTCGAACTGGCATCGCGAACGGCATTCATGGAGCAAAGGGGCACGCGAGGAGAGTGCTGTAGTACTGTGGGCCTCTGAGGCTGCCGCGGCGCCGTTTCAACACTTCCTGACAGCGATGACAACGGGAACATCCCGAGCCAGCGAGAGAACGTAACTCAAGTACAAGACAAATTGTAAAATGTTTAAGCTTGGCGGCTGCGTGGGTGGCTTTGTGTGTGGACAGCTGTTGCAAAACCAAAAGGATTTATAGCAGATGGAGTCTGGCACGCAGGAGCAAAAGAACAACGCAGGGATCTGGACAAGCCGAGCCCTAACTCCTTCGGAACCGCCCTGCCATGGAAAGCTGGGCGTTGAGCGCTGACGGGTGGCTTGGCAATCATTGGCCTCAGAAATCCTTGCTGCTCCTGCGCATCCGAGGCAAATCAAGTCTCAGCTGCAGCTTGGCTGGGTCTGACGGGTCTGGTTGTGCCTCGAGCGAAAACCCCGGCTTCTGCGGACATGCAGAGTCTCAGCGTCGGGTCTCCTCCCAGCTCAGGCATTCACTGCTGCAGGAGTTCAGTTTTTTTCGTAACTTGGAGGACTGCAATCCTTCGGTTTAGCCGGCATCGAAGCAGAGCAAAGATGAGAAGCCTTTCCGACGCGATGCGGCTTCAGCACGTATGAGTTCTAACAGTTGCTGCGTTGTTTCCAGGCGAAGATTCAGGAGCGTTTGCCATCGCTATTGTCCTTCGGAAGGGCTGAGGCTGGCACGGCCTTGCCCCCAGAATTTGCGCATTCTGTCCGATCTTCTGTTGCAGTGCCGTGGCAGAATGTAAGAGATGCGAGCGGCCAGGTCTTGTTCTATGAGGGCGATGCGCCGCGTCCCTCGTCTGTTGGTTTGCTGAATTGGGGCTGGTTGTTAATTATTACGCGTCGGCAGCCATGCCTATCCGAATCTGTACAAACAGGGTGCAATGGAAGCCTGCAGCCCGAATTTGCGAAGACTTGTTAAGACTTCAGAGGAACGGAGGAATATGATAATGCGGTTGCCCCTTTAATGGCCCCCCCGACCACCCCCTTGACATTGGTTCGGTAGACTGGGGGCTTGGATTGGCTTGGGGTCTGTGTGGGTCTGATTAACTTTCAAGGGGTCCGAGAGGTTTGGTGGCTGGGTTGGAGAGGTTTGGTGGTGGGTGGTGGGCTTGGGGTCCGTGTGGGTTTGACTAACTCAGTAAACTCAGAAGGGTTTTGGAGGGTCCGAGGGGTCTGGGGGTTGGCTTCGGGTCTGGGTGGCTTTGTCCAACTTAACAGGGGTTTGGGGTGGTTTGCTTACGTTGCCGAGGTTTCGATCAATTTCGGGGTTTTGTTTGTTGTGCTTAAACAGACGGGTTCAGGAGGGTTCTGTAGGTTTGGGGGGTCGGGTTCACTACAAGATTAGGAGGGCTCGGTAGGTTTCGGGGAGGGTGGTTAGGTTCGATGGTAGAAAGAAGAGGGGTGCCCAGTTTTGCAAATAATTCAGAATAACTTGGGCTTTTGGGCCAAAGTTGTAGGGTTCGGGGTTTAGGGCTGAGGGTTCTTTTGAGTTGTCGACTTCAGGGTCAGGGTCAAGGGATTAGGGTTTAGGGGTTCCCTTCCGGATACTTAAATTCTCCAACTAATTAATTGTGGGATTTTGGAGCAGGGGGGGGGGGGAAATTGTGGGTGCCTTAAGATTGACCGTTGGCAGAACGGAAGCAAACATTGGAAACAACAATTAGCCGGCAAAAACATGCGTTTAAGCAAAAGAGGCATTGTAGACTCCCACCTGGCAAAAGGGGCCTCATCTTTAACAAAGGTTGCCATGAAGTTGAATGCAATGCAGGTCTGCTTTGTCTCTTGTTTTGTCAGTTCCTGTGGTGCTGTAACAGCGGCATGCGACCCAGTGGGGTGAGACGCCAGTGCGTGCGTGTGTGTGTGTGTGTGTGTGTGTGTGTTTGCCAAGGACTGTGCTACATCATCTTGTCGGGCGAGGTGACCATCTGGAAGTCTCAACGGAAGGATGACTTGTCGCCGAGGTCTTCTAGTAGGATGCGGCCTGCGCGTGGTCTCAATGCCCAAGAAGTTCTGCAGGTCGATGAAAGAGAAGTACAGCCGAGCAAACTCAAACAAGATGCCTCCAGATGTCCCATGCTCGGCTCGAGCCAAGCGTGTTTTTCCGTCCTGGTCCGTGCCACTGCGTCACGCTCAGGCCACGGGCGGTCCTTCCGAGGATGCTCCAGAGGACAGCCCCAGATTGCCAGTTTGCCGCTTTGCAGTAGCTTGCGACGCTTGCTGCGTTGCGGTCTTCACAAGGCATAGGGTACAGGTGTCCATGCCCAGGACGAGGAGGAGGAAGAGGAGACCTTGGGCACAGCATCCCGTGAAGCCATGGCGCTGCCTGGCCGGACCAGCAGAGGCAGATGCCGTTTGGGCATTTTCCAGGCTCCGGCCGTCGAACCCAGGATGTGTGCCCTGCTGGCGGCGGTGGAGGGAATGCCAGATCTCCCCGACTGCCGTGGGACAGCTCAAGAAGAGCAACATGGCATGGCCCTGGCCACGCTGGGCCCTGGCAGGACTCGGAGGGGTACGCGCGTACTATTCTATGGTGCCCTTGACGCTTGCAGCATTGAATTGGTGAGGCTGCTGGGCGAGCTGGCGATCGTCGATGACCGAACTCGCATGGCAACGGCTGTCTCCTGGCTTCAACTCTGCAAGGCTGCTTTGACCGTTGACCGTCAATTGTGCTCCTTTGTACATCTCAGGTTTGCCAGACCGCATGTCGCTTCGATGAGTTCAGCCAGATCCTGCCCTTGGCTGTACCCTGTATCAATGCACTGCAAGCTGGCCGAGGCAAGTTCCTGACGATGGAGCGGACGGATTTTCTAAACTGCCAGCGCGCAGCTCAGCCCCTTGAGTGTGTTTGAGTATTGTGTAATCCTGCCTTGGGCCTGCAAGGTGTGCTCTCATCGACGACCTGGACGACAGGTTGGCCTTCCTCAGAGTGGCAGCAGCTCGGCTAAGCACCCATGGAACTTCTGGTTCTTTGTTGCTGGAAACTCAGGCGCCTCCACTGCGAAGCTTATCGAAAGAAGCCGAGCATGCAGCCTTGTATTGCGCCTGGGCAAAGGAGAGTATCACGGCGCCAGTGCGTGCATTGTCTGTCCAAACCTACGCTTCAATGCCGCAATCGTGTGCGCAGAGAGAGAGAGGTCCTGCTTCCCTTCGGCTGTGTAGAAGAAGAGAGAGAGAAGCCTAGAAGCGGAGTGCCTCAAGCTGTCGACGAGGGGCAGAAAAGTGTGCCATCCCAAGCCTTTTTCCTTTGAGCTTGATGCAAGCTCGTGGGCCAATGAGTGCAAGGGATCAGCGGACCGGATTAATGGAATGGAGGTGGTGTGGATTTCCAGCTTGCTTCGTTTGTTATGATCAAGGGTTTCCGAAATCCCAGGGTCTGAGAGTGCGTGCTGCAGCTTATGGGGGGTAACGGAGCCGGTCGGTCGCAAATCATCGGTTTGCACAGGTTTGGAGGCAGGTCCTTTGGGGTGTATAGTCTACTCGTGTTACCGACCTTTCCCGATCCAACCTCGAACTGGGGGGCCGACCAGACCTGGTGAAGAAGAAGAAGAAGATGTGTGTGTGTATATATATATATATATATGCACACGCACATATATAGATATATTTTTGTTCCCCCTATTGACCTACATGTTCTTCTTAATCATATTTCTAGGAGAAGAGGAAGCAAAGGTATTGAATAAGACAATGCTACTTGGTGTGAAATTTGTCTTGCGTGCTTCTGTTGCTGCATTGCAAACACGACGGCAGACGTCCGTCTTACCACATCAAAGCCCAAAGCAATTAAAACAACCAAAACAACACAAACACACCCCCACACACACACACACGCACATACACAAATCAAACACCATGTATGGACACCAAATAAGCAACAACCACGAGAAACAAAAACACAACAAACCACACACACGCACACCAAACAACCACAAAAACCAAACAACAAGACAAAACACAACAAACCTCTATGTGTAGGATGGTGCTGAATATTTTGTTGTTTGTGTGGGGTTTTTTGTTGATATATGTGGTCTTCCGATCTGGTGCGATTCACGAGAAAACTGCAACTCATATTTAGTTTGATATTCGCTGCAATCTCCAACTTGGAAGAACAACGCCCAGCACGTAAGTCGTCTCTTCTAAGCCAGTTCCATACTGATGCAGTTTTTGATCCTTTCCGTCTGTTCCTATCTGCGTATCTGTATATATGTACAGCATATCTATACATGTCTATAACGTTCATAATGTATATGATGCAGTCAATGATGCAGCATGTATGCAAATCTGGCTTCAGTCATGTATATACCCATCCATATGCATTCTGATTGTTCTTACAGGTGCTTCCACAAGGTGTGCAATATTGCCAATATTCCTCAAGACAGATAGGCAGGCCTAAAAAGATAGGCGGGCGCGGGAATCAAGACGCACGCTGTCTCCCTGTAAGGGTCTACAAAGTCTGGATTTCCTCTTATTTCACACCTTGCTTGGGGGCCTTACACACTGCACACAGGTTCTGCTCCGACAAAGCCTTCCTATTGCTTTTTTTTTTAATTAGAAACCTACAAAATTACCTGTTGCTGGGCTCTTAAATAGGACCGAGTATTTGAGACGCATGGGTTCTTGGCACATCTTGCTCCGACAGCAGCTAGACTTACCAAACACACCTATGCCGGGCGCGGGGCCTACATATTTCAGCCTAACCGCCTGATCTTATGGTAAACACCCGATTCCGGTAACAAATCGCCTTTAAGCACCAAAAGATATACATGTAGAGTAGGGATACATGCTGCAGACACTGCGTATGGTTACATGCAGCATGTCATGCATGCTCCTATGGCAGCGCTGATTCGATAAGACATGATGAGTTGTTCTTGTGTTAGTACACCAGCGCATTGTACTCGTTTTGTCCGTACAGACCGTCTATATTACGAAAGCAGTATATATATATATATGTACGCTATCAAAATTTTCGCATGTGCTATCTAGAAAAACATTCGTAACGCATTTGCAGCATGTATGTATGCACCCGTTGAATCATAGATGTGTCCGAATGCTTCATGTGCAGTCTGATTGTCCTTACAGGTGCTTCCACATGTGTACATGTGTGCAATATTGCCGATATTCCTCAAGACGGATTGGCAGGCGTATAAAAGATAGCTTCTTGCTGAAATATCTCGGTCTCTCTTTCTCTCTGTCTCTACATTTATATGTATATATATATATATATTCATTCATATATACACATATGTATACGTACGTCTTTGTCTACAAAGATACAACAAAAGTATTTACATATGTACACGAATAGCAGACACAACTGCTGCCATGTACCCATAGACAGGCATTCGTACACATGCACAAACACCCCGCGGTTGCACGTGCGCATGAACAAGCGAATCCGTGTGTGATGATAAACTTTGTATAGATCAAACATGCAGGTGCATTAGGAGTGGCTGCGGCAAGGTGTCGCACGTCGTGTCATTGATCATTGTATGTGCTGAAGCTACTGTTGCACTTTCTTGGGCCCCTGCTTTGAATATCTTGCTTCCATTTGATTGTGTTATGGTTGATCTGCCGTTGATCTGCATGGCAAGCGCGCGTACCCTCGCTCTACACGCACCTGTTTGAAGTAGATCTGTTTTTCAGGCGTCTCTCTAGCTGTTGTACAGTTGTTAAGATGCTCGTCGCGCAGCTAGATGCGCAACGAAGCCTGTATGTGGCTGCTCATGGGTACATTTCTGCATAATCGCATGTGTTTGGCTTCCAGCCATAAATGTTATCGGTAGTCAGGATTTGCAGTTTGCGATCCTTCCGCGGAAGCGAGGCTTCGAGGAGCAGAACTTCGCTTTAAATCACGTGTTCTTCCAAGAGGGCGGTGCAGGACAAGTGCTGAAAGTGACAGCATGGGACGGCCGAATCTAAAAGAAGCCGGTCATTTTTGGAGATGATAAGCACTTCTTCGTGGTGAGCGCAGTCGTGAGAGGAGATGGTTCCATTTATTTCATTCGCAGCGGAGCCGTGGAGCTCCTGTGCAGGGAATCGGGCACCCGCAAGGCTCTTTGGAAGCGTACCCTGGCCTCACTGTGCCACCGGTCGTCCCCCGAGGCGGTCCCGCGGGCGGGGCTGCACCGGATGTGCCTCCTCCAGGTGGGTGCTGTTGCCTCTTCGCAAGAGTCCACTCAAAGTCCTTCTCGGCTCAGGAGGGCGCCTGTTTTGCATCATCCTTTACCAAAGTCGAAGAAGAGTTCACGGCAGCTGTGGCCTCCACACCTTGCAAGGCAGACTTGCGCACGCAGTTGAAAGCAATTTAAGCCGTCAGCATGTTTCTGTTGACACTCTCAGGTCTATCGAATACGCCGGGCGAAGATGCGGCACTTGCCGTATTCATTTCGACAGGGCTTCGAGTCATTTGTGGAGAAGGTTATGAGCAGCCGACTACATCTTTGCAAAGGCAAGTTCGATGAGTGCAGACAAACTTGCAATGCTTTCCAGGACCATGCTTCTTCACGGCCAGTTCGCAGTCAGCCGTGTCCTTGAAGGTGTCCCACCAGAGCACCCGCTGGTGACAGCCATTCTGGATCCACCGAAGAAGCGAGCGCAGCCGCCGAGCAGCGTGCTGGAGAAGACCTCCCGGCCCCTCCTTGGTGCCTTGGCCTGGGCCCAACCGAGAGCATTCGGAAAACGACATCGAGTAAACCACAGTGTCAAACACAAAGAGAAGGCACAGCAACAAGTTTAACGAATGCATAGGCATGGATGAGTCAGGTTATGCATACAGAAATAGTTTTCAATCATAGACATGCAGTGCGCAAATCTACAGCCTTCCCGTACCCTCCTCCTGATCCTCTGCGCCTGCCTCATCGCATCAATTCATATCCACGTTCTCTGATGTCCGCGACCTCAGGAAAGATGCGCAGCCTCAAGGTGCAAAGTGCCTCGCCGTGCCTAGAGCATTCAAGAGTGCAACAGTAGTGCTATACATCACCGCGACAAAGGTTTCGACATACGGATGGTATTTTTACAGTACGGCATGAACATATGCCGCGGAGCAGCAGGGTGGCCGCAGTAAAACGTGGCCAACGTGGCGGAGTACTTAATGTCATGGACTAAGGTTATGCTACTACTATAAGTTCTCGACGGAGAGCCTTCCGGATTTGTGTGAGGAGTCTATGGGGGAAAGGGGGCTCCAGTTCCGCATATGTTGAGTTACAGCCCGTGTCGTGAACTTTTTTCCTGCGGTAGCGATTCGTGGGGCTTGCAGTCCAGCCCTGTGCAAATACAGCGACATCAACTGCGGCAAATTGAGTGCCTCATATGTTGAGTTACAGGCCGTCAATTTGTCCTGCGGTAGTCTTATCCGACCTACCATGCTCTTTGTCCTCCTAGGAGGTTTGACCTTGGTAGTGGAGAGATGTCGTATTAAAGTTGGTGCATCCTCCAGTTAATCCCCGACTCGTTGCCCCGCTAGGTGTGTGACAAGAACCAGAAAATATGCATATGAGATGTACCGTGGCACCCTGCCTAGGCACTCGACTCGTTCATTTTTGCAGGAGGCAAAAATCTAGAAACAGAAATGCATACACGCGTATACATCTGTATACATTAATTTCGCAAATAAATATAAATAGGCATAAGTATACATGCATATATATATATATACACACATACACACATGTGTGATACTTGTATATGTAAGCATGTATGAAAAGAGGATGGAGAGACAGTCAACATGGGTACATGCTCAGCTGTTCCGCGCAACCACAAACCTCTGAATCAATCGTTTATTGCAACATTCAGCCATTCATTTCCCACTCTAATTGGTTAATCTCCGGAACCCTTACGATATAATAAAGCGGACATGATCGGCTAGGCCGAAAAACCATTTACGGGGTCTAATGCATTCGTTTAATGCTTGGGTGGTTTAGGGGGGCTTAGCAGTCTAATCAAGAAAAATGAACGGCTTAGGAGGAGTGAACACTTCAACATTTGTGGTTTTGGACCCCACCCGCTGTAGGGGAGAACACAGTCTAACGGTTTACAGGTCTCAAAACCAAGCGGTGTGGGACGCTACCACAAAAACAGGAAAATGAACGGCAACGAATGCTTTGAATTTGGCGCGTTCAGGTCCTACTCGCCATGGTACCCGCGGGGGGATCACTCGTACCGACGGGGAAACTATTGGTTGAGGGCCCTACCATTAAAGGGAGAATGAATGCTCCAAAGTTTAGTGGGGTATTAATTGATGTTGCAATGTTTTAGTGGTTTTTGTGCGCTAGTGGACTGCCAAAAGGGGGAATATGATGGCTCTTGGGCCCGTCCATGCCCCGGTCCTAACCAACACGGGGAAGGAAGGTTTGGCTCAGTGATTACGAGGGAAAAAGAAGGGCTTGCTGGCTCGATGCTTTAATGGTTGGGCTCCGTCTTTGATTGGTTGCTACATATACGACCCAAATCTTCATGACTCAACTGTCTGTTGGTTTGCAATCCGGGGGTTTGGAAACTACGGCGTTCACAAACCTTCCGGGGGGTTCATGGTCCCGTTGCACAGGAAACCTTACACGATAACTCCGAGTTTTGGGTTGGTTCGTGGGCGCCCGACCGAAATTTCTGAATAATGAGTGACCTTAGTGGATGAGTAGATGGACGCGCGGAAATGTTTAGGGATGCAATGGGATGCATTCTGGGAGCCGTATCTTGTTCACTTATCAATTAGTAAATGATTTGACCTAGGAATCGTTGTGATCCTTAAGACTGGACATTGCGGGTTCCTGTACGGCTACAGTAGCTGCTATCAGAGGAGCCGTCTGTTCTCCGCGCCACATTTTGTTTTGATCATGCGCAGTCGGTATATTCCGTGTAAGCAATGAGCATGCGCAGCCGTTGCACATCACGATCGCCTATGACGGGCCTATGACATGCACACCCTGCAGCTATGGCAGCTATGTACTCTTCTGTTTGTTGCGCTGATGGCCTCGCGCCATTTTACAGCACTGTTCAATGCTTGTCTAGCAACTTCTTGCTATCTTGAATCGAATCCACTACCGTAACTGTGCAGCAACCTTTTCTTGCATTTTCTATACGTGCATAATGCTTCGGCCTTGTTCTGGGTTGTCGCCTCAGTCACTGCCTTGCCAGTTGTAGACCATTATTTCACGCTGTCGCTGCACATGTTTCATCGTGTTTCCATTCTCTGGGGGGTATGTTGATGTATCTCTTGCACATGCTCACACGGTAGAAACAGGTTCTCATTACATGTGTTGTATATCGTTCTGCATGAGCGGGTCGAGGCATAGTGCCACAAGAAGCGGCTACTATTGCAGTATCTGTTACTGTTACTTGATATGAGTTATTTTGCATGTTGTGTTTTCCATTGCTCAGACCGCCATATACTCAACGCTAGTTTGTGCCGCCACAGCTCTTAGCACGGCTTTACCGTATTTTTCGCCAATGGAGAAATCCAGCTCGTGAGGTTTGCCGGATCTTCACGGGAAGTCAGCTCCTGGAAGGCGTCACACGGGGTTTTCAGCTTGTCGGGTCCAGATGTGCAATTGCAGGGCGAAGAAGCAGGATCGCTTGCAAGCGAGCCTCGGATCATGTCGGTGACTTTGTTGCGGCCTCGAGAGCAAAATGCGCGCCTTCCAAGGAGAGCTTTCCTACCGCTGGTCGAATTGCATCACCGGGAGACCGACCTTCGACCTGCTGAGGCAAGGCCTGCTAGCACTTCACCCTCCACTGGAGAAGTATCCCCGAAAGGTTAAGACCCGTGGCATGCTGAATGCTGGCGACATGCATGAGCGGCCTGGCTTCACTTCTATGTGCCTAATTCCTGAAAAGCTGAGCCAGCGCAGTTGGTGTTGCGTCTTGGTATTCTGCAGCTACCTTTGTGCAGGTTCAGCAACACCACGCGTTTGCTGGTAACTGCTTTGACAGATTGGCAGTGACCGCACTCCGTGTTTCGTCCTGTGCTGTAGCTCCGTGAAGGCTCTGGCGATGTGTGGAGCTGAGCTATGCCCCGCCTGCTGGAATGTGGCCGCGAAGAAGACTGGCATACTGCCTTACTACACGTCCAGATTTCCAGTCAACCGTTCGCAGAGAAGCATAGAGCTTTTCTTGTTCTTTCAATGTCCTTTATTTTACTACGGGCTGACAAATGTATGGCACCGCTGCGTTGTCGCCGTGACTTCAAGCATGCAGGGAAGCCAAGTGGCGTCAGGTCGAGACTTGGCTGCACCGAGTAGCAAGCGAGCGTGCCTGCGAAGCGGTGGTTGCTTGGCAGGCTCAGACCTGCGCCACTCCCTTCGCACCGATTCCTCACGAAAGCGTCGAGCTTGTAACTTTTGTCCTAGACAAATTTGTTGCGATGTGATGTGAGCCTTTGCAAGCACCACATGGTGCTTTTGCCGGGCTGCACTTAGACTTATACTGTAGCATCCACGGCGAGAAGGACATGTCCTAACTCTTTCATGGGCCTTGCAGATCTGACGCAAGCAAGTACATCCAAAAAGATTTTGGTTGTGGTTTGATACGGCAGTTATTCGAAGCATCTCCGCTCTAGAATACAATAAGAGGATCTAAGGGGAGTGGTTCCACAAAGGTGTTGGCTCTTGAGGGTTGCTGAATCGGATAGTACAACATGAAATCCTCTTGAGCCGGCTTGGGTTCACGCTGTGATTTTTCTAGGCCGCCTCTAGGTTAGTTGCACGGTGCATGGTTGTACAGGCACGATCCGATTCAATGCGGTTTGGACTAAAAAGGTGCGAGGGAAGCCGTCAGTACTGTAGTCAACTTATTCCAGCACTCCATCGTTTCACGAAAAGGCCCCGTCTGAGGCAGTCTAATGTTGCGGGCTGACTGGGGGCTTGGGGGACCGCGCTGCCTTAAAACGCGTCGTAAGAGAGGCTCAACAAGAGAACTAGTGCCTCTAATGTTTGTCGAAAGTCTTCGATGCTTGAGGCATGTAGCTGGGACGGAACTCAGCATGGGAGTGGCGAAGTCCAAGTGTCCTGCAAGTGGCAAGGGAGACAAATTTGGCAGATTAAGTTGGTGTTAGCAAGGTTCCATTGCGATGTGCAAGCCGGGATTTCAATGATCATCTCTTGCCAGGATAAATGTCCGGTTTGAGAACCTGAAGGAATGAGAGCTTTCCTGGTTTAGAATGGCGCATGTCGTGACCTTCTTGTGATTCGAGATGATACCTCTCGGACCCTGTTGCATGTATCGCTGGCCTCGCCAGTGTGTTGGTGCCAGACACACCCAAGAAAAGGGTTCGCTGCACAGGTAACTGGTGATTCATGCAGAGCCTTGCCAGTGCTAGCTCGGCACAGAAAGATCCGAAGCTCCTACCACTTCAAGCTGGCCGTCGTAAACTTCAACCAAATGACCACCCATTTTCCATCTCATGAGGTCCAGGAGCTGCAGCAGGGCCTTGCAAAAGCGCCTCTTGGCAGCACAGATAGCCAGTTGTTGGTCGCTAGCTGGAAAAACAGTAGAGCTTTCTCAAATTGTTTCTGGATGGTTGGATTCATTTTCATCATAAAAAAAGCAGGAGGACTCCTTCATCCCTTATCATTGGCTAGGCCTCAACGAGCTCTTATAATCTGCCAGCATCAAAACAACCAAGTCAGGGCATGTGCAACTCTCTTGATGTTTCGGAAAAGAAGTGATCTCCCTCCACCATATTCCAAATACTTCAAGTGTGACGATCTTCTGACCTTATGTATCACGAATGGAACTGCTGCTCGTTTCGTTATATCATGTGGAAATATCTGGAATCAAACAACTCCTGATAAAAAAACAGAAAAACACGTCAATTTTTTCGTTTGCTGGCAGCGAGAAGAATGGCAAGGATAGAGTAGCGATTACCCTTTCTTTGTTCTCCTCATCAGAAATATGGAAGCACACATCTATATTGCTTATGCTTTGTGGAGTGAGGACACAGTTACAAAGCCTTCGTTGTTCCTCTCGTAGTCCGAAGCAAAAGACCACTTTGGTGCACGCAAGCAATTGTCCAGACTCTTTTGCATTTTCCTACAAGCAAGAAGCCACGAGAGCTGGTTTGCCTGAACATTTAGTAGCTTATGAACGTTAAAAAGGTATATGCATATATATATATACAAAAGGATATATATATATATATATGTAGAAAGAGATATAAACAAATCAGTACATAAGCATGGCGTTAGAGCCGGTCTGAAGATAACTGTATGAAGAAATAAACAAAGATGGATCTATACATATATAAACATATATATATATATTTATGTATGTATGTATGTATATACATAGATTTGTATATTGCTCGTGTCTTACGCGTATGTGTAAACTTATGTGCATGAGCATGCGCATGTGTATGCGTATGCCTTTGTGTGCACGCATGTCTGTACATACGTATGTATGTACATATGTCGGTGTTTGGGGTTGGCTGTTTGGGCAGCGAGTTTTTCGCAGATTTCTTGCATGGCCCTGGAGGGTTGTCTCGCAAAGGTTCTTGCGAATTTTCTCGCGGATTTTGCCGCGGATTTTCTGAAGAATCCATCTCCCTCACAAAAAATCCGCGTACAAATTCGTGTGCATCACCGTCCAACAATTCTGCGTGTGTCAAAACATCTGCGCAAACCCTGCCCAGAGGGCCGGTACCAACAGGTGTTTGTATGTAGGAAATTGAGTACGTATGTATGTATTTATGTAGGAATGTATGTAAGTAGGTATGTACGTGCGTATGTATTGTTGTGTATGTACGTGCTGTATGTACGTAGCATGCACGTAAGTAAAAGTATCTATGCAAGCCTACATGTCTGTATGCCTCTCTGCCTGCCTGTCTCCTGGTGTGTATGTGTTTGTAGCTCTGTGTAGGCGTATGTCGGTGTATATGAGTACGTACCTGTATCTGCATATGTATATGTACATGTATGTACATATATCTACATACATACGTGCATGCATAATACATGCTCACACACACACACACATATATATATATACACATGCATGTGCATGTCTATGTATGTGTATGGGGATGTGTTTGCATTGTACTTGTGCCCAAACTTCTGAAGCTACCGAAACTCTTAACCCTCGTCTGCTTGTTGAGTGCGAGTGCCAAAAATTGTACTTGTGCACGGAGTCCCGAAGCAAAACAATGAGCACGCACGAATCTTTCCAGAGTGGTGTCATATCTTAGGGCGGGATAGACAAGCTCCCCTACAAGTTTTTAGGGACTGCATCCTCACCTTTAACTTTGTCGAGTGATAGAGAGTAGCCCCAGACAGCGGGACCGCGGCTGCAAATTGAAGACCGCCGTGCCTGTGCACCCCAGGCACGGAGCTTTAATTCTGTGCCGAATTCTGATTCTTAGTAGTATGGGCTTGAGTCGTTAAGCCTAAAGTCGCAGCACTCGCGCCATAGTTGCAGAATTCCAGATTTCCGCAACCCAACAAGTCCAAAACTCCGGATTTCATTTAGCCGATAAGGGAACTCTGGAATTCGTGGGCTGAATCTGGAGTTCTAGAATTAACTGTGGTCTCCCAAGAATTTTCAATTCTGGAATTCCAGAACGTGAACAGATTGAATTTGTGTGTTCGCGTGTATCTCTCTGTCTATGTACACACAGCTACATACATACATTTGCGTACATACAGATGTGTATATACATATATATGCCTGCTCTGAGGAAGAAGTCGTTCGCCGCAGTGCAGGACTCTACACTTGGAGACGACTTGGGATCCTGTCTCGTTGTTTCACTCTGTTTCAGAGCCGCCAGAAGAGGAAGTAGGTTTCCGGCCCGACTTTTCCCGGTTTGAGATCCCTTAACCTGGCAACCAAAGCCACGCTAAGTCCACAACCTTGGCAAACTTCGGTGCACCTGTGGTTTGGTGGAGCCCCCTGCTCAAAAGTTATGTCATCTACACAACTGCTGGGTGAAAGTCGCTGTGCCAGGAGCTGCAGCAGGAGGCGCGAGCTCCTGACTCCCTCCGTGACATGTAGACAGTCTCGAAGAAAGACGGCTGTTACTCTTGCACGGGCGCGTCTGCTTCATGCTGTATTACATCAATCCACGTTGAAAGACGCAGAATTGATTGGAAGAGACGATCCAGGGAGTATGTACTCGCTGCAACATCGACTGGGTCCCTGCTGAGGTCGCGCAGCTCAGAAGTCAGTCAGCAAGGGGCCAAGACTTTTCTGTTCTGTTCCTGCGCCAGAATGCTAGAACTCTGGAGGATGCGCTGAGCCCGAAGTCGAGCGACTCGGCAGCGGAGCTCAGCGATTAGCCGGAGCTCTGAGACGGCGAATTCCTGGTTTCCTGTGCTCAGGGCTCGTCTCGAAGAGGCGTGTCCTTCCGGCCTCGAGAGAGCGCACCGGCCCGAGAGCACGGCACCCGTCTCGCTCCAAAGCTCTCGTTCTCGGCAGGTCGTCGAGATTGACGGTCGAGGCTCCCTTGCGAACTTCGCAAACGGTGTTACGCCAGGCAGGGCACGCCGGAGCATGGGGGACTGGCTTGGTATCCTAGCATCTGCACCATGAGGAGAAGTGCAAGCACCAAGCATCGTGGCTGAAGCACTCTGTGCTGTCATGAGGGTTCCGAGGGCCCATGCGGCTGCGTCTTGCAGCACATTGAAAGACCTTACAATAGGACCGCCATAGCCGAGGAAAAGTCAAGTCCCGGAAGCCGACGGCGTTTGCTGCAGCGCCACCGGCCAGTGGAGTGTGGATGCCCGGTTCGGAGCCTCTCACGACACAAGAGGGCCTTCCAGATGCTAGATTCCTACATACCTCCTGGTCGGGCGTGGCTGAGGTCGGCTTCGAGGGTGAAGAAGATATTGAAGAGGTGGAGGTCGACCAGACACCCAAACGAAAGGTCCATGGGCGCCAGGCTACGGCCTTCGCTCCAAAGAAAACTGCAGATGCCCGGTACTTAGATTTCAACTTCCCTTGTGCCTAGGTGCAAAGATGGAGGGTGCACTGCTCATGTGTTGGTCCAGGTCGACTTTGATGACGATGCAGAGGAGATGGACGTCGAGGAGGACATTGAAATGAAGAGATGGCTCCCAGCTTCTAATCGCGCCATCTGATTCATCAACTGTACTCAGTCGGCGCGTTACCAGTTTCGTGCCGTTTCAGCAGGAGTACTAAACAAAACCACAAACCCTTAAACCCGAAACCCTTAAACCCACACGCGAAGAAACCCTAAACCCAAACCCCTTAACAGCTTGACCTTCGCATTCAGTTAGGGGCAGTGTTTCACTAAGCCTGCACTATGAGCCTGCAAACCCGGAAACCCTAGACCTAATTTTCTGAGTATAGACAAAATGTTCCAGGGACCTTTGTGGCTTGTTGTGATCCGGCTGTGATAAGACGTCTCGCTTGATCAAA